AGACAGACAAACAGACACAGACACAGAGAAGGACATCTGGTGTGTCTTCCCCCTTTTATAAGGGCAACAACCGTGTCATATTATAAAGCCTCATGCTTAGGAATTCAGTTAACTTTATCTTTCTAACGGCTCTCTTTCCAGACATAGTCTTATTGAGTTTAGGGCTTTAGTATATGAAATTTGTGGGGAAGACTCAATTCAGTCTACTACAGTGTCCACTGTAGTTATTGTGAATTGGTTAGGGCTATGTGAATGCCAGTCATTACTGATTCATTGTCTCGTTTGACTCCAGCAAAGTTCTGTCACTAGAGAAGATGGGGGATCACAGATGTGATGAACACCCAGATAATAGGGAACCAGGAAAGCATTCCAGTTGGCATTTTGAAGATCAGTCTGTCTTTGCATTGGAGGGAGCTTTGCCTGAAATCCTGTTGATTTTCTAGGGCTTTGTCTTTAAGTTTTGAGCTGTCAGGAAAGGCTGCTCTGCAGGGCCATGAGGGAGAAGGCGATCCAGGAAGATCTCTGAATGGGGTAAGGACCTGATTACAGTTGTAGAGCTGCACTTTGGGAGGCAATGGGGCTATGTGAGTAAGTGTGTGGGAGGGATCGATAGGAGAAAGAAACTTGAGATCATGTGGCAGAATGTTGCATAGCCCTGTGGAGAGATAACAGTAGATAGCCAAGGGTGACACAGAAAGTGCTAGATGCCAGGGTTTTTTTTTTCTATACATTTTATAACTATTTTATTTATAAAATATTCCTAAATGAAATTTACCTAAAACTGTTAGATATTTAATCAATCTGAGACACACTGTACAATTCAATACTACCCAATAGTAAAAAAAGTAGCACTAATAGTATAACAGTACTATATATCATTATAGCAAAAGTTTCAGTAAATAAATAAAATCATTTAAAATGTTATACATTCATTCTGAAAAAAAGAATATGGAGACAAAATTAAGATCATAAGTTATTGGGAATGGTAATATAAATGAAGGAATTTGTTAGAAAAACCATAGAATGATGAAATAGAACTGTTTTCTCTCTTTAGCATGGTAATTATTACATGACCAATATATAGATCGTCACAGTAAAAGTATTAATTTTACTCCTATATAAATTATGATTTGAGGGCGGGGGCGATAGTTCAGTAGTCTAAGCTCCTGTCTGGCAAGTGCATGGATCTGGGTTCAATCCCTGGCACTGCAAGCCACTGTGTCAGCTCCAGAACCCCACGGGTGCCATGCGTCCCACCCAAAGCTAGGAGTGGTGGTGTACGCCTATAATCACAGCTCTAGGGAGGCTGAGACAGGAGGATCACTATGAGTCTGAGCTATGTAATGAGATGCTGTACCAAATAAATAAATAAATAAATAAATAGTTTAAAAAACAAATTATGATTTTATGACTATTTATTTATTTATTTTTTTAGGAAAGGGTCCACAGAGTGTTCAGGGTGTCACTACTAGATCAGACTCGTAGTGATCCACCTGTCTACAGCCTCCCAAGAGCTGGGATCACAGGTGTGGGCCACCATGCCCAGTCTCAAATGCAGTCTCAAAATGTCCCGGGGGGGGGGGTGCCAGGATTTTGATAAAAGAGACAGGGTTTTGATAAATGACTGAATGCAGGTCAGGGGGTACAGGTAGTAAGTTCAAAATGAGGCCAACGTGGTGCCCCTGACAAATGAATTTAGTGCTCCCAAACTCTGCTGGCTTCATCCTATCCCCTTCTCAGGTGGGGAGGGGAGGACCCCAGGATATCCTGGCATGTCTTAAAGTGCAGTGTGTGGGAAAGGGATATTAGAGATGATTTTTTAAATTTAAGATTAATCTAATTCAGTTAATCATTTCTGATAATTATGTCCTTAATAGTACAGCATTCGGCTTAATAATTTATCAAATGAGAGGTGATTAGTGAAAAGATAATGGCTTAGGACAGGTGGGCTGGTAGAGTTAGGACAGTGTTTTTGAGTATTTTGTATTTTGCAAAATAAATATTCAGTTCCAGAATTGGACAATTTTAGGGACAATATAAGGGAAATTTGGATTAAAAGTGGACTCTTAGTTCCAATAAGTGTTGAGCAGAAAGAGGTAGGTCTGTAAGCAACCTGGCTTTTCCTGGTTTCCTCTTCTTAAAGAATGACATATGCATTTACGTCCCAATGTAGAAGTTATCCTTGATCACTCTTTCTCTTATCTCCTTCATCAAATCCATCAGCAAACCTTGTCAATCTTGTTTGTAAAATTTACCTCCAATATCTACGCTTGTCTTCATCTTACCTACTACCACCTCAAGCCAAGCCACTGTGCTGGCTTACCTAGGTGTGGAGATAGCTCCCACTTGGTTTCACTGTTCCATTCTCTTCCCCAACATTTCACTTTCTGCACAGTTTAGAGCAACTGTTAACAGCACATGAGATCCTGCTCCTGCTCTGCTTATACCTCTTAGTGGCTTTCCACTACACTTAGAGAATAAAGTTTACTATTCCTATGCTAGATTATGGTCATCTCCCTGATGTAGCTCCTCCTGGCCTTCCGGCCTCATCTCACACTGTCCTCCTTGCTCACTGTACTCCAGTTTCCTTGGTCTTCCTGCTTCTCAGCCATGCCTGCTCATCCCACTTGCGGGAGTGGGATCTTTGCTTTGTTGTAATGTATTGACTCTGACCATCATGGGTGACTTGTATCATAAAGGGACCTTCTCTGACTCTTTGGTCTAAGTACTGTTTCATAATCTCTCTGCTTTATTCCCTTTACAGTGCTTATTTCTCTCTGATCTTTGCCTTTGGGGTTGTTTATTTAAGTTTATAGCACTTCTGTATAAGTTTCTTCCAAGTAGAGTTTTGTCTTGGTATTTACAGCTGAATTGCCCATGTCTAGAACACGAGCTGACACTTTTAGTAGATACAGTACTAAGTGAACAGTAATTGTGTGAATGAATGAATGAATAAATGAATGAATGCACCTACACCACTGTCTCCTCATTTTTCCTGGATCTCTCTTTGATTGGTCCTTCAGGGATCTCATCTACTTTTTTTTAAAAAAGTCATTTATTTATTTGGTGCAGGGTCTTGCTACACAGCTCAGACTTGTAGTGGTCCTCCTATCTCAGCCTCCCTAGGACTGGGATTACAGGCACGCACCACTGCATCTGTTTTGGTGGCCAGCACGGCATGAAGTACATGGAACCAAACCCCAGGTCCTTACCCTTGCCAGGCAGGCACTTAGACTGCTGAGCTATCTCTCCAGCCTGTGCTTTGATGGGGTGTTTGATACTAAGCACCAGCTGCCTTATATTTGGAAGAGAGTGATTGATGTAATTAGGAAAATTTCCCAGACTAACTTGTCTTTTGGGAAACATACATTTTGTTTCAGATTTGGGCTACCTAGGAACTTTAGAAAAATAAGTACAAGTCTCATACTTAGCAAAAAACCCAAAATGATTATACAGGTGGATGTCAACCTAGTGTGATTTAACTAAATAGTATTTTGAATTTGTGATGGCATGAAAATTTACTGAAACAAAAATTGTTTTCACTTTCAGTATGATATTATGCGATACACTTAATACTTTACTATAAAATAAGCTTTGTGTTGATTTTTCCCAATTGTAGGCTAATGTTAATGCTCTGAACACCTTCATGGTAGATAGGTTAAGCTATGATGTTTGGTATGTTAGATGTGTTAATGCATATTTGATTATATAATATTTTCTATTAATTATGAATTTATTGGGGCACAACCCCAATAAATTAAAATGACTGATTAGAAGTTTAAGACCATCTGTACCTGCTTTTCACTTATTAAATGTTGTTGTAATTTCTGCTCCTGGATACATGAGGACTCTAGACCTCTCTGGAGTTCTTTTGGATCTGAGATATAGTTGAGTTGGTGGCATAGTGTACAACTGGCCAATGCAAGATCCCTCTCTTGTTTCTGGATATTTTCTTCTTTGACTCCAGTTCACAGTACTAGTCTCCTTTCTCCTTCTGGGCTTTTACCCTTGATTACTTCATCTATGACCTTCCACTCTGCT